TGAAGGTTATTTTCATTTTACAAATCCTGCACTCAGCTTTGCTTTATCCAATATCATTGAAAAGCAGCCAGATGCTGCTTCTTTTTTCGGTTTTCGCTCATTTCTTGACTTTTTCCGACGCGCTTGCATTTAAATCCGGCTCCCCGTCTCCTCGTCGCTCTGCACATGCTGTGCCCCCACCCTTCTTTCACATAATGGTATGATCCTAGTGTGTCCTCGCATATGATTGGCCGCATGGTGGGCCAGCTAAATAAAGACCCGCCCCTGCCTGCAAGGATTCTCAGCAAGAGTAGGAGCGGCTGAAGATTCTGCTTTCCCCGACGGGAGTCTGCTCTTCTAACGGCAGCTCGCGATCGGCGTGTTGGAGACCTCTGAATTAAAGTAGCAAGTCACCTCAAGTCAGAAGGCTCAAGTCCAAGTCAAGTCCCGAGTCATTGGTGTTCAAGTCCAAGTCGAGTCGCAAGTCTTTTGTGATGTTGTCAAGTCGAGTCTCAAGTCATAAAATGTGTGACTCGAGTCCAAGTCATGTGACTCGAGTCCACACCTCTGGCGTGTGGTGCCAACACAACCTGGTAACAAATCCTGCACTGTACTTTATTTTGCTCCACGTCGGACTCCTGAAAGCCAAAGTACTTGCAAATAGTGGAAATAGTTTGACCCTTCTTTTTAACGAGTTGCTGCTCTTGTTCTGACATCTTCGCTCGCGCTGAACACTCACAACACATGTCACTCCCACGTGGCCGAGTGGGCTTTTAGGGAGGGGCGAAAGCGCACCCAGCAAAATAATCGTATTTTGTCAATTATGCTGTTTTCATAATCGTCGCAAGCCATAATCGTAATCGCGATTAAAATACGATTAATTGCACAGCCCTACTATGACCTTTCAGCATCACGTGAAGCATATACATGGAACATAAGGTGTCTCTATTTATATTTAACTCAACAAAAATGGTGTAATTTGCATTTCACATTAACCTGAATGGATATTTGATACAACAAGTGTGGGAAGATACCCCTCACTGCCAAACACATGTGAAATACTGCTTGATTTTAAACTATAAGTATTAAAGGTGCCACATTGAGTTGTGCCCTTGTTGGCACATTGCTACACTTGTTTTAAATGCGAGTGGATCACTGGAAAAGCAGGATGTGAACCAATGTGCCGCCCAAAATGTCACTCTCATGTACAGACATAGCTCTGTAGCTCCTCTAGTGGCCGAAAACTCCACAGGACACCTTTAAGTAAAATATATTAAGACCCTGTTGAATAGTAACAATATCAAACTACTGTACCAGACGGATCTCATGTACCGTTTCTTTACTTAAACCTCCTGTAAGGGAAGCATCATAGTTAGTTTGGAGCGTAAATGTGAGCCAGGATGTGCAGGGCCTTAAGAAGTCAGATGACAAAGTGTTAAGTGCGACAATGTCCGATATAAAAATGGATTATGGGGAGGATAGATATGTCAAACAAACTTGGGACTTTTACGAAGAAGTATTTCATGTTTATGTGAAACCAGAAATCAATATTGACCTATTTTACTGTAGTTTACTTGGGTAATATACCTACTAAACGCACGTACGTTAGTTATATAACAAACAAACATTGTCATTTTAAACAACACTATGTTTTTGTCTTCTAACCAGGTCGTTTTTTTATGCAGGTGCTTGCCCAGGTCTCATTTGGCTGGAAATGTTTTGGTGAACACAGATGAACGATGGGCACAGACATGGAAAAGACACCAAGGCCGTTTCTCGATGTCGAGTATACCTGCTGCAGAGTCACTATTTCAAGTATACTACGTCATCGAGTGGCGCCGAATGCTGGGCATTTAACATGCATTTAAACAGTCCTTCAGTATACTTGAAATAGTGGCTCTGCAGCAGGTATACTCGACATTGAGAAACAGCCCAAGACTGAAAATGATACAACAATTCATCTTGTGTGTTTTTGTCGTTATTTAAGTGTTTTTTTACGGGCAATTCGAGTATCTTTGTAGTTTTTTTAATCAAACTTTTTTTTAAAGATATCAAACAAACAGTTGCAGTAGTATTTGTTGGCTATACAAACCTGACTAAGGTGACGGTGATCAGCGCTCCACATAAGGGTCCTGCCCAGAAGATCCAGTGAAAGCCCCACTGGCCTGTAACCACTGCAGGACCGAAGGCTCGGGCCGGGTTCATGCAGGCTCCAGACAGCTGGCCTCTGAAACAACAGACAATAACTAACACTGCAACACAGCTGGAGGAACAGTATGTTTAAAGGTCCCCTATTATACTGTTTTTCATCAATATATTATAGCTTTCAGATACAAAACATGTCTCTGAAGTGTTTGGCTCCAAACACCAAACAGATCATTGCAGCATTACCCATAATCCCCTCTGTTTCAGCCCTGTTTAAAAAGTGCTGATTCTCTGTCTGTTACTTTAGATGAAAATAAGGAGCCCCTCCCCACGCCCCTCTGAGAGACATTTGGTTACAAAGAACACTATGGTGCTCTAGGAGGAGATTACCTTGGTTGCTGATTGGCTAATGGTTACACAAGCCAAAAAATCGTTATGACATCATAAAGTGGCCAAAATCTGATCAGCTCATTTTCAGACAGGTTATAGATAGAAATGGATCAGGAGAAAAAGAGAGAGAATCTTTGTTCCTGAAACTTTCAGAGTCTCTTTACACAGAGGGGACACATGTTGATGTAGAAGAGACATGAAGAAGAGGGGACACATGTTGATGTAGAAGAGACATGAAGAAGAGGGGACACATGTTGATGTAGAAGAGACATGAAGAAGAGGGGACACATGTTGATGTAGAAGAGGACATGAAGAAGAGGGGACACATGTTGATGTAGAAGAGACATGAAGAAGAGGGGACACATGTTGATGTAGAAGAGACATGAGGAAGAGGGGACACATGTTGATCTAGAAGAGACATGAAGAAGAGGGGACACATGTTGATGTAGAAGAGACATGAAGAAGAGGGGACACATGTTGATGTAGAAGAGACATGAAGAAGAGGGGACACATGTTGATGTAGAAGAGACATGAAGAAGAGGGGACACATGTTGATCTAGAAGAGACATGAAGAAGAGGGGACACATGTTGATGTAGAAGAGACATGAAGAAGAGGGGACACATGTTGATCTAGAAGAGACATGAAGAAGAGGGGACACATGTTGATGTAGAAGAGACATGAAGAAGAGGGGACACATGTTGATCTAGAAGAGACATGAAGAAGAGACATGAAGAAGAGGGGACACATGCTGATGTAGAAGAGACATGAAGAAGAGGGGACACATGTTGATCTAGAAGAGACATGAAGAAGAGGGGACACATGTTGATCTAGAAGAGACATGAAGAAGAGGGGACACATGTTGATGTAGAAGAGACATGAAGAAGAGGGGACACATGTTGATGTAGAAGAGACATGAAGAAGAGGGGACACATGTTGATGTAGAAGAGACATGAAGAAGAGGGGACACATGTTGATGTAGAAGAGACATGAAGAAGAGGGGACACATGTTGATGTAGAAGAGTTATGAAGAAGAGGGGACACATGCTGATGTAGAAGAGACATGAAGAAGAGGGGACACATGTTGATGAAGAAGAGACATGAAGAAGAGGGGGACACATGTTGATGTAGAAGAGACATGAAGAAGAGGGGACACATGTTGATGTAGAAGAGACATGAAGAAGAGGGGACACATGTTGATGTAGAAGAGACATGAAGAAGAGGGGACACATGTTGATGTAGAAGAGACATGAAGAAGAGGGGACACATGTTGATCTAGAAGAGACATGAAGAAGAGGGGACACATGTTGATGTAGAAGAGACATGAAGAAGAGGGGACACATGTTGATGTAGAAGAGACATGAAGAAGAGGGGACACATGTTGATGTAGAAGAGACATGAAGAAGAGGGGACACATGTTGATGAAGAAGAGACATGAAGAAGAGGGGACACATGTTGATGTAGAAGAGACATGAAGAAGAGGGGACACATGTTGATGTAGAAGAGACATGAAGAAGAGGGGACACATGTTGATGTAGAAGAGACATGAAGAAGAGGGGACACATGTTGATGTAGAAGAGACATGAAGAAGAGGGGACACATGTTGATGTAGAAGAGACATGAAGAAGAGGGGACACATGTTGATGTAGAAGAGACATGAAGAAGAGGGGACACATGTTGATCTAGAAGAGACATGAAGAAGAGGGGACACATGTTGATGTAGAAGAGACATGAAGAAGAGGATTTTGCATAATAGGTGACCTTTAACATTTAGAACAGGGGTCTCCAACCTTTTTTAGGATGAGAGCTACGTTAAAAAAATCAAACAAGTCCTGAGCTACTTCTATTCCTCTTTTTGTTGTTTTTTGCAGTGTATATATGTAGCACATTTTAACATTATGATATGCTGACCTTTAACCTTTGTGTGCTGTTTGGGTCTGTGGGACCCGTTTTCAGGGTTTACTAAAAGAAAATGTATGCAATTTAATTATTTGAACCTGCTTTATTTGGGGGTGGTCCTCACCTCCTCTAGGGGGGTCTGGGGGCATGAACCCCCGGGAATATTTGTTTTAAATGTTGAAGTGAAATGCATCAATCTGGTGCACTTTGAGCACCAGATGAATTTATGGACACAGCTCTCAACACTCAGATGAAAGGGAGCTGTATACTTTTCAATAATCCAAACATCTTTAGAATATGATCACAAACAATAACAAATCATTTAAACTGGTTTATTCTTATCTTACCTAGTTAGCATTCTTTCTTTTTATTTATGCATATTTTACTAATCACTCCCCTTTTAAACTGTTTTTTTGTACTGTCCTATAATACACACTGGAAAGATTTCTTACTTTATTACAACTATATTAAATAGATAAAGGTGTGCTCTCTGTCTCGCTCACTCACAGAGGCTGTGTGCTCCTCCGTGGCAATAACGGCTTGCGTTAAAAAATAATAATACACATATTTGTAAAGTGGGGGGGACATGTCCCCCCTGTGCCCAGTGGAAATTACGCCATGCGTGTGTGTGTGCGTCAAGTGCAATTATGCAAGTTGCAAGTTGCAGCACACACACAGTAAAACTCTGCCCCTCATGTGCTGTATAGGCTGGCATGAATAGGCTGTGTTCAATGGGGCTGATGTGTTGTGTAGATTCTGCCAGAAGGAAAGGTCACACTCCTTATGAAGCGGTGAGCTGCCGCTCCACATTGCTTTTCTTCCCGACTGCAACGCTGGTCCCGCAAATCAAGCAAGAACGTGATTGGTCAACATTCATTGTGGGGGGACGAGGGGTGTTAGATAGATATAGAGTTGTAGTAAGTAGATAGGGTTCGCTATGATTTAATTACATTTCCTTTTTTTGTGTGTATTTTTTACATTTTGGATTTACTTGGTGAGCTACTTCTTGAGGGCTTGCGAGCTACCGGTAGCTCGCGATCGACGTGTTGGAGACCCCTGGTTTAGAAGTATCAGTGGGCAACTCAAATACAAAAATAATGCAATGTGGTTTAATAGAATTCTTCACAGAGTTTAGCTGCAGATTACAATATTTATTTATTTATTTATGTTAGGATTGGATTAAATATTAAACAGACCTTTCAAGGTAATAAAAAGAGTCAATAACGAACCTTGTCTTCTCTTTTATAACTGATAATAGTAATACATACGTGTGTGTAGGAGGGTTTAGGGCTGCAGGTGTCACGGTCCAAACTGTGTCCCTGTTTGTTCCCCTGTGTGTGTGGAGAGGGTGTGGTTTCCCTTGCAGCCTGATTGCTCTCACCTGGCCGTCCGACTCAGCTGTCCCTCATCATCTAATCAGGACACAGCTTCTACTCCAGTCTCCCAGCAACTCACCGCCAGATTGTTTTCTACACCAGTGGTATTACATCCTCCTGGCTGCCCATCCAGTTATCCTGTCTGCGTGTAATTCCGTACTTTTGTAACTAGTTTCTCTTGTGTTTCCAGTGCAATCCCTCGGCCATCATCCACCAGAGCTTCCAGCCAACCTGCCTGCTTCTTCCTGCATCATACCTGCCTGCCTTGTAATCAGTCCAGCCTCTCACTGCCTACCTCCACTCCGGACCTCCATAATCACCAAACCTGCCTGAGTCTCCGAAACAATAAACCATTTAAACATCTTCAGTCATTGCCTGCGCCTGGGTCCTGTTTAAAACATAATCCTAACAGAAGGTGACTTTAAGGACACGGTATTCATGCCCTCTGTATATTATTTATAAGGGGGAGTTTATGTTCAGTATTTTAAATAACATGTTTTTTTAATGCTGATTCAAATATGTTTAGACTTTTTTAAATGTATGGTTAGGCCGACTGAAGGCAGGTCTATTAATACTCCACCAGAATCTCATCATGGTAGATTGCAGCATTTAGGAAGAATAAAGATATATATTAAACATGGATATATTTAAGATTAAAATGTTAAATGTATGAGTTTGTTGAGGTTGATCCAACCAAGTAAAGGAATGTGATTCGATGACCAAAAAGACCACTATTTTTCAAGTTCTTTTCATTTTAATATGTGACTTTAATCGTGAAAATCCATGTTGTTTTTTTTGTGGAGGGTCTTACATTTACTGCATCAATCTCAGCAAATGTCTTGGAAATTTACAAATGTAATCTTGGAAATGAGAGCGTTTTTCCGCCATAATTAAACTTGCAGAAAATCTAACTGGACAGCTAATTAAATGTATTTGTGGCTGTCATGGCCTCAGCATTCAACATACAGTAATTCCCCCTCTGGTTGTGATCTGTGGATGGATAATGTTGTGCAGGATTGTGGATGATCTTACCCCGCTAATATGTTTGCGCTCACAGTGAGGCCGATGCAGAACGCAGCCACTGGGGAGCTGGTCTTCTTGTTGACGGCTCCCATGCAGGCCGCCAACGTGAGGAACAACGTCATTATCACCTCGGCCAGAGTGATTTTAGCCAGATCTGCGGTCGGGCCCACGAGAAAGGATCCTCCGAAGGAAGCATTATAAATGTTATCGGGAAATACGCCCTGAAAGAAGGACAAATTAATATATAATATCCCTTAATGATACAATTATCCATCATACAATAGACTGAAGAGAATAGTTTTCATTTATTTTCACCTTTTGTTTTTACTCTAAACTGAGATAGCACAAAATCAAGACCAGGATTAAAGGATGCTAAGGATATCAGTTGTTTCGTGTTCTTTTTTTGTCATAAAATGCCATAATTATCATTATAAGATATATCAAAACGTTTAGCTTAGTAAGTCAAAATTGGAAGATTTTAAGTCAAAAATGTAACTTATTTCGTCAAAATTCTGATATTTTAGGACAAAATCTTGAAATACTAGGTCAATATTTTGAGATTTGATTACATACTTTCACGTTACTTAGTTCAAATCATGAGAAAATATTAATTCATCTAATATTTTAATACATTGTGGACCTACTACGTAAAAAATCTGACTTACTGGTTAAAAATTATGCAATATAAAATCATATAATTATTTTAAAATATAATCTTATACGTCAATAATGCAATTTAATAATCAGTTAAAATGACGGAATACTTGCTTATTATCTTGTATATTTTACTAAATATGTTAAATGCTTTTGACTGCAGAAGTTATGTCAACTTTGTGACTTACCTTGAGTATTTATATTTTCATTATAACAAACCTTTCATCTATTTGTTTCACTTTTTTGGGGCAGAATTGGGCTTCCCTAGTGTTCCTCACCCTGGTTAAAGCCGCCCCCAACATGCCTCCTAACATCTGGGCGAGGATGTACGGCAGCAGCAGGGCGAGCTTCATCCCTCCACACAGGTACACACTCACAGACACCACAGGGTTAAAGTGCCCGCCGCTGCAAAAACACAATAAACGTTGCTCTGTTATCTCTGGAATAACGTTATGAACTGGTACCAATGAACCTTATCTAGCACACATGGGGTAAAAAGGCAATTTAAGGTAATTATTTGAATCAAAAATGATACTTATGAATAATAATCTATCTATTGAAATGTGTCATCAATCATAAAAATCGTAAGTAATCTACTTAATATTCTCTATGAACTACATGTTAAGGCAAATTATCTTTAAATCAGTTCATTGAGATGAAAAATAATGACCCTTATCTTATAACAGCTTGTAATAACAGCTGCAGGGTTTATTTGTACACAACATTGTCAGTGAGTGACAGATAACAATAGAAACTTTATAAAGCATATTATTTACTGACATTTTAAAGCAAATTAACAACCGTGTAAATTTATGTTGGCTCTACAACTGCTTTAAGACATTTATGACATTTAAAAGACAACAAATAATCAGTCTGCTGAGACACCAACTTAATGAGTTAATTTTAAGTAATCCTTACTTTGTCAATATGTGACAGAAAATCATACCAAAAAGGTATTCATATCTCACAAAAGTATTCATGTTGTCTCTACACAAGATTTTATGACATTTCTAAGATTTTTAAAGACAATAAATGATCAGTCCGCTTTAGAAAACACAATATCTTTACCTAATTTTCCCAAACAGCATGATGAGCACAGCCAGTGCCATGCCATGAGCCATCGCAGCCTGCAGGACCCCGAATTGTCCAATGTTCCCCATCACAGACGCACACCCCACAAACACAAACAGGGTCGTCCCGTACAGCTCGGCCAGGCACGGCTGCACATACTGCTCGAACATGCTCGTCCTCATGGTTTCCCTTTCAGCTGGAGGTTCCACCATCTCAGTTATGGTGAAAATCTCAGCCTTGTTTTCTGTGCCCGACATACTGAATACAAATGATGTCTTTACCTGTCCTGTGTCACTCACAGCTCACACTGATGATGGACACTTATAAGCCATTCTGAGGATGATTCATAAAAGACCTACGCACATCCCCACTTTTGTTTTCTCTTCTGATGCCCCACCTTCCTGCAATTGTTTATAATCCCAAGAGCAATCAGGAGAAACTCATAACATGATGTATATGTTTTTGAGAGATAAGGATGAGGGGTGTCAGCACAAAAGCAGCATGTTAAGTTTAAGGGGTACCACATATTTTAGTTCTCTATCAGTACAATAATTTTAATACATGAGGATTCTGTTATTTTTTATGTTAAACCTATACAAAAAAGATTGTGGTTGCCACTTTTAGGGCAGTGGGAAAAACCTATAAACTCATAATCTGTTATCACCTTCAAGATGATATGACCAGACTATACTAAGGTTATTCTGAGTTTATACCAGGGTATAAATAGTAATACCTCAGATATCTGTTTATAATAAATACTGATCCTATTAACTGATCATCATTTTATTTTTCCTTTATAAATTACAATTGCAATCTATTCTCTGATTAGTTGTTTTTTATTTAAAATATTATAGTTTTACCGATATTTCATTTCTTGTGTGCCATTTAACAATACAATAAAATAAAAACAAGTATACAGTATACAAATACTGTGTTACAAGTAAAATAACCCCACAAAAGTATCAGGATAACAGAACTAAAAAGCAACAGTTCTAATTGGCAGAAAGTCAAATTTCTTAATAATAATTGATAAGTGTTAATTTATTTGATTACATTGCATTTAGCTGACGCTTTTATCCAAAGCGACTTACAATAAGTGCGTTCGACCAACAAAATACAAACTTGAAGAAAACAGAATCATATAAGTACATCAGGCTTCATAGAGCAAAAACATTTCAAGTGCTACTCAACTGGCTTTAGATAAGCCAGCCCTTTAATAGTATATAAGTGCTTTGTTAACAGTTCTATCGCTCGAAGTGGAGTCGAAAGAGATGAGTTTTCAGTCTGCGCCGGAAGGTGTGTAAGCTATCTGCTGTCCTGATGTCAATGGGGAGCTCATTCCACCATTTTGGAGCCAGGATAGCAAACCCACGTGTTTTTGCTGATGGGAACTCCCCTTCGCAGCGAGGGTGCAGCGAGCCGTTTGGTTGATGCAGAGCGGAGTGCACGTGCTGGGGTGTACGGTTTAACCATGTCCTGGATGTAGGAAGGGCCAGATCCATTAGCAGCATGGTACGCAAGTACCATTGTCTTGAAGTGGATTCTAGCAGTTATCGGAAGCCAGTGAAGGGAGCGGAGGAGCGGCGTGGTGTGGGAGAATTTAGGAAGGTTGAAGACCAGGCGAGCAGCTGCATTCTGGATGAGCTGCAGAGGTCGGATGGCACATGCAGGTCGACCAGCCAGGAGGGAGTTACAGTAGTCTAGGCGTGAGATGACGAGAGCCTGGACCAGAACCTGCGTCGCTTTCTGGGTCAGCTGGGGACGCTTTGATGTTGGTGGCACTAATGTTAAGTACTGCTGTTTAGCTTAAAGGGATAGTGGAAATCCGCGAATTTTGGGTTTAACTTATGTATTTTTATTAAAAAGAAGCATAATAAACCATTTTTTTTAATTTCATGCGCCTAGTTTAATTTTATTTTCAATTTTACTGCGCCCTCTCAATGAAACGAAATACTTCGGGAATCGTCGGGAATCTTCGGGTGATGACGAGAGCTCAGGAAGACGGGCACAAACAATGGCGGACATTCAATAGCATTTGCATGTGAATAGCCGACCTTTATTATGGTGAATAGATGTGTTTTGTATGGCTGTAGTGCGACAGAAAAATTCTACGTGACACAACGACATTGGATTAACCTTGAGATGCGTTTTTATTCCGTTGAACACAACTTTTGATCACAAATCAAAAAAGGTAAGACGTAATTATTGTAATATTTTTGGAACCGGATGTTGTTTACTTTCTCTTTTCTGGCTGATAGCTCCAGGAATTCGAGGTCTTACAGTGATGACATTACATGTGTGGAATCTGTGGAGTCTCAGCTTTAAATCGTATATCTTGTTTGTGCCGTTAAGATAGTAATAAGGGCATTTCTACCGTGTGTTGTGTGTAAAAAAGCGTTAGCATTGTTTCGCTCAATGCTAATTCAAAGGCTTGGTATTACTCTTGTGTTTTTTCTAGCTAACAATTGTTCTTATTGTCAGTTAGCGGAGTTTCTTACCTTTAAAAGGGTATGAAAACATTAATAGTTTCATAAATGTTAAGAAGCCCTGAGACATGTGAGAGAAAAAAAACTGTGGGAGGGGTCCACTGGGGGGACCTTCGGGCTTAACTGGTTAACAATGATTAATATTTGTAAAGGCTACAGGTGATCTTAAGATGCGTGAGCTATGCTTAGGGACCTACCAGTCAAGATTATTTGTGCGTAGGGGTGCATCATCTGGCGCCTGGTCCTGGTCATCCTCGCCATTGCCCATGCCGTGAACCATCACCTCGGGCTCGGGCTCGAACAAATAAGGACGTAATGGTCCATCGTCTGGCTCAATATTGTCACCATCGTCGCTTACTGAACCGGATTCAGATTCAGTTCCTAAAACGACATTTTCGTAGGAAAGCCGAGAGGATGTTTCTGACTCGCTATCATCACTGGATACCTCGTACAATCCTTCTTCTCTGTCTGGTATATTTGCCCTTCCACGTTCATTCTGCATAGACGCCATGGTTTGTTATCGTATCGTCTTCCTGAGTTTTCGTCACTTCCGGTTTGGCTGAGTCGAACATTTCGTTTCTAAAAAACTTCGGGGAAGCTGCAATAAAGTGCTTCTAACATGCGTAAGGCAATTATTATATATTTTTAATCAGGTGTGATTGTTTTGGTACGTAATT